TTTGTTGGTCCACTCTAGTTTACTTGCTGTGAATTTCTGAAGTCTCTCGTTTAAATGAATGGAGCCGCGCCGGCTGGCGCAGATGCGTTTTTTTTTCACAATTTTCTTGTGGGCGGGACCACTCACAGCCATTTTGGATAGCTCCAGTAGAGCACATTTTTTGGCCCATTAGTTAGAATGGATTTATTGTTTACAATGGATCTATTATAATTAGGGCTGTCCAAATTATTGCGTTAATTCACGTTAATTACCGTTTTCATTAACGCGTTAAAAAAAAAAATTAACGCATTAACTGCCTATTTTCACGTTCCCAGATGTCTATTGTATCAAATATGTAAGGCTTGAGGCAATATTTTATCAAGCCAGCAGATGGCAGCATTGCTATGTGAATGGTTTGAAAACAGCTAGATGCACATGTGCCTCTTTTTTTCTCAGCTTTCTGGTGATTTCAATAAAACTTACCTCTACTCGACTGGGGATTACAGGGGAACGAAACAAGCTATAAACACAATTCTTTTTGCGGATGAAAGTAGACAGTCCATTCTTTCAGAATCTGGTTTTGGATTTCAGATAGTCATAGTACACAATATTTTGTGGGTCTTGAAAATTCAGTAAAAATCATCAGAAACGGCTGGCAATATGGGAGTACCTGTTCTGAAATAGGCTGGCAGTCAATCGCATGTCCGAATGACCCGCCCATTTATAATAATATCACTCAGAATGCCGCGGACACGTGCGTGTGTGTGATGGTGACAGCGGTAACGTGGTCATATAATACACACATATATATACACGCACAGGGGCCATTCTCTGATGTGTGACACACGGAGGAGGAGACACGCTGAAATGCAACCAAACTCGCAAAATTAAAGCTGGGGTACCTACATTTTCCCTTTCATTAACAGCTCTTGTTGGTTGTTGTTGTGAGCAAGTCAAACAGATTTAAGTACATTTGGTATGAATAACAATGTGTCATTACATTTGAAAATCTCATTTAACTTCAATTGGAGTGGATTTGAAATAGAATGTTAAAAATGCAATCGTGAGTTAACTCATCATTACTATACGATTACTCAAAAACAAAAAATTAATCGTTTGACAGCCCTAATTATAATATATAGTTTTACAAACGTGAGGTGAAGAGAAGAGAGACATGGAGGAATAACGTCTGCGGGAGCTTAAAACAGCGGTGATCAAGGAAGCAGGAGATATCAGGCCCCGGCGATTCAAGATGGCGCCCTATTCAAATGAATGGTTGTGCTCAGTGGCGCTTTGTGATGGCATGGGGGCTGAAAGATTAGCGGAAGATCTATGGGAAACTCGCAAAGATCTAAGGATTTAAGAAGAAAAAAAGTTCAGGATGACAAGGGACACTAAAATCCCAACAAAATCTGACCTTTATTAAAGCTGTAGGTTCTCTTTCAGCTGAGGTTGAGCTGTTTTAATATGCATTGAGTTCTATGGAGAAAATTTCTTGGTAGCCCACGTGAATTTAGTCTGGTTCAGTCTGCAGTACCGCGAGAATCCCCCGAGCACATAAGTTATTCAGCTACAAGCTAGTAATACCCTATCCAGTTATTATAATAGATCCATGGGAGATATACACAGCCGCGGCAGTACATGGCTAAAAGCTCATGTTAGCATTAGCGTTAGATTTACAGAACATTCACTCACGCTGCTGTAAGTATTCTGGCGAGCCTCAAAATAAAAACAAATAAAACACACACAGAATCCCCACAAAATAATTGTGGGGATTCTGTGTGTGTTTTATTTGAGGCTTGTTCCTGAATAAATTTAGTTGAAACTTGTGACAGTAGTTGGACTGTGCTCAGATCGGGTCAGAACATCCTGAGACTGTGTTTCAGATTCTGCCTCGGTCTCATTATTGTCAGTGTGTAAAAGTTACGTATTGTTCACGTGTGAGTCTGTTGTGTACAAACTACACAATGTGCCTCCTGTTCTGTTAATGCTGTCTTTGTGTGTGTGGTTTGCGATGTTGACACTTTGCTGCAATGACGCTGGACTTCTGCACAATTATTTTTCTAAAAGATTGTTGTTCGGATCGTTCTTTTATATAACTGTGGTCCTCCATGGTTCTTTTACATAACTGTGGTCCTCCATGGTTCTTTTACATAACTGTGGTCCTCCATGGTTCTTTTACATAACTGTGGTCCTCCATGGTTCTTTTACATAACTGTGGTCCTCCATGGTTCTTTTACATAACTGTGGTCCTCCATGGTTCTTTTATATAACTGTGGTCCTCCATGGTTCTTTTATATAACTATGGTCCTCCATGGTTCTTTTATATAACTGTGGTCCTCCATGGTTCTTTTATATAACTGTAGTCCTCCATGGTTCTTTTATATAACTGTGGTCCTCCATGGTTCTTTTATATAACTGTGGTCCTCCATGGTTCTTTTATATAACTGTGGTCCTCCATGGTTCTTTTATATAACTGTGGTCTTCCATGGTTCCTTCTTCCAACTTGTGAAGGCACGGTGAAAGCAACGATATCAGCAGCTCATGTGAAACGAAAACGGGTTTCTCGCTTCCTCTGTGTCCCTTATCCACCGCCGGTTTTCAAGATGGCGCATTTACGCGGAGAACACCCTGTCACGTGGAGGTGATGGAGGACTCAAATGCAGGAATGCAATAAATAATCCAGCCATCCATCCATCCATTTTCTTCCCCTTATTCCGTTTCTGGGTCGGGGGGGTGGCAGACAGAGCTGCACCCAGTACACAGAGCCTGATCCTCCTGCAGGTGGTGAGTCCACAGGAGCCTTGATCTTCCAGGGGGCTTTGGGCAAAGTGGGGTTAAGTGTCTTGCCCAAGGACACAACGACAGCAGTCATCAGTGGGAGTCATGAAGTACTAAAATAAAAGTCCAGGTGATAACAACTCAAAATACGGAACCAGGAACAAAGACAGAACTTGACAAAACAGGAGGTTGACAAAACAATGGACCAGAAACAAGAGGAGAGAAGCACAGGGTACAAATAGACACGGACACAGATGAAACACATCAGGAAGAGGCAGAACAATCAACAAAGGGGAACAAGACAGGAAGTACTAACTAAAACCAAACTGATGTCAAAATAAAACCCATCCATCCATCCATTTTCTTCCGCTTTATCCGTTGCCGGGTCGCGGGGGCAGCAGTCTAAGCAGAGACGCCCAGACTTCCCTATCCACACACACCTCCTCCAGCTCGTCCGGGGGGACCCCAAGGCGTTCCCAGGCCAGCTGAGAGACATAGTCTCTCCAGCGTGTCCTGGGTCTTCCCCGGGGCCTCCTCCCGGTGGGACGTGCCCGGAACACCTCCCCAGGGAGGCGTCCAGGAGGCATCCTGAACAGATTCCCGAGCCACCTCAACTGGTTCCTCTCGACGTGAAGAAGCAGCGGCTCTACTCCGAGCTCCTCCCGTGTGACCGAGCTCCTCACCCTATCTCTAAGGGAGCGGCCAGCCACTCTGCGGAGGAAGCTCATTTCGGCCGCTTGTATCCGCAATCTCATTCTTTCGGTCATTACCCACAGCTCATGACCATAGGTGAGGGAGGGAACGAAGATTGACCGGTAAATCGAGAGCTTCGCCTTTCGGCTCAGCTCCCTCTTTACCACAACGGTCCGATACAGCGACCGCATCACTGCGCACGCTGCACCGATCCGCCTGTCAATCTCACGCTCCATCCTCCCCTCACTCGTGAACAAGACCCCGAGATACTTGAACTCCTCCACTTGAGGAAGGGCCTCTCCACCCACCTGCAGAGGGCAGGGCACCTTTTTCCGGTCGAGCACCATGGCCTCGGATTTGGAGGTGCTGATTCTCATCCCAGCCGCTTCACACTCGGCTGCAAACCGTCCCAGTGCATGCTGCAGGTCCTGGTTCGTTGGAGCCAACAGGACGACATCATCCGCAAAAAGTAGAGATGAAATCCTGTGGTTCCCGAACCGGACCCCCTCCGGCCCCTGGCTGCGCCTAGAGATTCTGTCCATAAACACAGTGAACAGAACCGGTGACAAAGGGCAGCCCTGGCGGAGGCCAACATTCACCGGGAACAGGTCTGACTTACTGCCGGCAATGCGAACACAGCTCTGGCTCCGGTCATACAGGGACCGAACAGCCCTCAGCAGAGGACCCCGGACCCCGTACTCCCGGAGGACCCCCCAAAGGACACCCCGGGGAACACGGTCGAACGCCTTCTCCAAATCCACAAAGCACATGTGGACAGGTTGGGCGAACTCCCATGAACCCTCGAGTATCCGATGGTTAAATAAAACCAAAGTACAAAAATAAAATCCACACCATGACACACTCCTTCTCCCATGGACACTTATAAGTTAAATTCTGAGCCTGTGAATACAATTAAAAAAACATGGTGGAAGGTAAATATTCTTATAAAGGTCATATTTGTTTTTAGTTAACATGTTTTTTCATATGGAGCAGCTGTAAAAATTACACAGGGTGGCTTTAAGATATATTTCACATGTTTTTTTGTATTGTTCCTTGCCGAGGCAGGAGGGTCTATGGAAATGGTATGGTGTTTATCCAGGACATTTATGAACATTTATTTACATTGTTGGACATCTGCCCCCTATGGACCACATTACATTTCCTGTATTTGAACTGCTTGATTTTCTGATCGGTGTGGAATATCAGCAACTTTGTAAAGTCCTCCAAGCTAACTACTGTTGTGATATAAGCCAATACAAAAATAAATTGAACCGAATTGAATAGAATAGAATTGAATTGAACATTTTAAAACATGAAAAGACCAAGTAAAGAGTCTCATTATCATTATTAATAGCCAACATTAATGCCTATATATCTCCTTTAATATCAGTTTGGTAAACAATAAAACTGTTGCTATAGCTACCTCATACTGAACCCCCATAATTAAGTTGATCATCATAATAATAGCTTAGTTTCACGTTTCCTGCATGTTGGTTTAAGCGCTGACCCTGGCCTGGAGTGTGCGTGCTGGACGTGGACAGGCTGCCATGGCGTGCCCCTCTCAGGAGCAGGAGGCCCCCGAGGAGAAGGGCTCCTCTGTGTCAGTGTGTGCGTGTGCAGGTGTAGCGCATGTAGCGTGTCCACCCATGTGAAAGCAGCCTCTTATGCATACTTACACCCTGTGAGATTGGTGCTATGGGAATAATGCAGCCTGTAGGTCGCAGGGTTCGTTTCCATGCGCCTCACACTTCACACCATCTCTCCTCACCCTTTAATCATGCATTTCAAACAAGTGCTCGTGCCGCTTGTTGCTTTTAAGGCAGCGTTTGGAAACTGTTAAATGTAGGTCTCCATTTCAAACATCACATACATTGTACACTGTACCTCTTGTGGCTCAGAGAATAGACTTTAGAATAGACTTGTGTAAAACTCTCTATGCCCTCACACCGATATTATTATAGGTCTATGCTCACACCAAAGAACATCTGTGACATGTTAGTGCCATATGAAACAGGCTTCCTGCAGGTGCTCTGTCTTCCTACAAATGTGAGACAGGCTTCTTCTCTGACAATGTTCAAATCTAGGTTAAAAACAGCTGTTTTTAACCACAACTGACGGGTTGTTGTCTTTTTGATGTACTGTGATTATTTATGATTTTGTTGTCTTGATATTAATGTTTATTTTCTTTTTTGTCAAGCATGTTGATGCCTTGTGCATGAAATGTGCGATACAAATTTATTCGGTACCTTGCCTCACCTTACCTTTGAACTCCATCATTGCCTAGCCTGGCCTTAGCCATCCGTACACTCCGCTAGTCCCTGGGTTAGTGATTACAATCGGTTAAATTTCGACCAACCAACCAGCGAGCGCGGAAGGCAGGTGTTGTTGTTAGTTGTGGGTGACGTCAAGAGTTTGCGTTGAACGGGAAGGTCGTAGTTTGGCAATGGCGAAAAATGCCGTAGTAAAGTAATCCGGTCTGGTTCTATCAAGAAATTGAATCCGGAGCAAGAGAAATGTTTAGCAAATGTAGTCGCTGGAAAAGATTGTGGCGCTACTCCCCACGGGCTCCGTTAGCCGCAAAGGAGATGGCTAGGCTAAATGCTAAATGCTAACGACTCACTCGGGCGCACTACATACGTCACAGTAAACTCAGATCCAATGGTTTCAATCTGCAAAAGGAGTTAACCCCTCCTCTCTGTTCACGGAGCTCAATGGAGCAAATCCAGACCTTAGTACAAAATGTAATTTGTACTATGGTGTGGTACGACCAGGCTAATCATTGTCACAAGCAAAAATAAACTGTTTTAAACTGTCATGAAACTGTCCACCAGTTCCATGTTCCACCCGGTCACACCAAGTTATTCCTGCTACAAATCTGCAGTCAGTACTGTTACTGTGACATCACCAACAGGGAATGACATCAGTGCACGGCTGGAGGGAGCCGAATTCCAACACTGTTACTTTTAGGTAATTTTTTGGTGAATTTTCTTCAAAAAATGTTGTGTCCTGCTATCTGTGGTATCAGCTTCGAATGCATAGAATTTCAAAAATATGGTTTGATTTTCTTCCAACCATCCACAAGGTTTAGTGTGACGAGATACAAAAAATCTGCCTGAACTAGCAAAAGAATATTTTACTGTGAGGGTTGCATGTTATTGTTGTTGTTATTATGCACTGAAACTCAAAAATCTGACTTTTGTTATTAAAAATTTCAAATTGACCCAATCTTAACACTTTCCATAATCAACAAGCTCCACTCACTTTCTCAGCGATGCCGTGCTCTCTCCTGAGGCTCTTCTTGGCAGTGGTTCCCAAGTTCTGACGTACATACACAAACACACACACACACACTCACACACATTTTGGGAACTCCGGATCGCAGTGTCCGCACATATACACCGCAAACGGCTAATCGAGTATCAAACCAAGCCGAGAGGAAAAAGCGCCCCCTCTCCGTGTCTCATTCATTATTCACGGGCCGCAAATTAAGTTGGTACAGTGGGAGCAATCAATTATAGATGAGGGAAGGTAGGAGGGAAAGAGCGCGAGATAAAGGGGGCTGGAGAGAGGGGCACGTTGCACGCAGCAGAGCGTTAGCATGTCAGAGAGCATCGCGGCGCCGCATCAAAAGGCCCTGGCGGTGCAGAGTTCATGTGTGCTCTTTTATCGCATTGAAATGGGAAAGCAGGGCCGAGATAAACCAGTCCAGGTCTCAGGTTCAAAGCTGCTCTGTTTGTGAGCAAGTCTCTCCATGGCCTCGCACCGAACTGTGACATGTTAGTGCCATAAGAACCAACTCTGAGGAGCACAGGGACTGGCCCAACTGAGGGGTCGTGTGTTCGCTCTTGTTGATGTATGTACTGTAATTATTTATGCTTTTAATGTGTTTATGTTCATATTTTTTTTCTTTTCTTGTTAAAGTAGCAATATGTAAGTTTTTCACGTCATGACATCATTAAGTGGCCCTAATCTGTAAAAAAAAACATTAATAAAACATTCTCTTTTCGAATAGTTCTTTAACTGATAACAGTAGTTTCACAGCCCCTAAATCTTTTTATTGTTTTCATTTCGATGTCTTGCCCTCTGTTTCACCACTTAGAAAATCTCCGATCTGGGTTGCCAGAACTCACTGTGTCGAGCTAATCTCACTGGTAAAGTAACTTGTGGCCGCAGAACTAAAAATTCTAAAATTATTTATAACAAAACAAGGTATTAAACCAGAGTCGGAGAGAGTGCAGTACCACTTATGGCCAGATTTTTACATTGTGCTTCTTCATGCACTTTGTTGCCCTGTGTATGAACTGTGCTATACAACCTTTTCCACAAACATTTAAAGTTTCAGCAGGTACACTTACTACATACAATTACATAAACTGCACAAGATCGAACATTTCTTGAGCGTGTGTAAATATGCAGTGGCTCCTTAAAAATAATTCGTATTTCACAGTTAGTATATCAAAATAGTAATTGAGTACTTTTTGTAACATAAGTTTAAAGAGTAGTATTTTGTATAGTATATATATAAGCAACTGTATAGCTACACTTATTCCTTCTATAAAAAGGTATTGAAAAAGTTTAGGTTAAAAAAAGTGTTTTGTCTCCAAATTAACCCAAGGGGACACTTTTTTTTGTCTTATTCAAAATTGTTTGCAAATGTCTTGTCTCCACATCGTCTGCACAGTCATAGTGAAACTCCAAACAGTCCCTTTGAGCTTCTACACGTTTTGAAACTCCAATATCAGCCCGGTGGAAAGCGCTGCTGCACTTTTGACTCAGATCTGTTCAAACTCACTTCAGCGACTCTCATGATCCGCCACACACACATACAGCCCATTGTTTTCATCACGGTGATACTGATCTTTTGTGGTGGCAATGTATTTAGTGTGAATTTTGGCAGTTACATTGTTGTGCCCTATATCTGACTATTTCTAATATTATTATTCTCTTTTTAATGGCAACAAACCCAGGATGTAAAGCTACAGCCACCATGTAACAGTGCTAATGTAAATAATGGCTGTGAGATTTCATAACACTTTTAAGCAACTTTTGTTAAAGTTAAACTCATCATTCTATCAATGTGCTACAACTTCGTACAATCCATTTCTCCTTTAGGCTCATGTTTATATTACACTGTCTCTGTAAAGTTAAGAATCACACCATCAAACTTTCCATCAATATTGGGAGATGAGCGGGTGATTTCAGTTGGCTAAGTTACAAGTCATATCTGTGGAGAGGACAGCTGTCAAAACAGAAACATTGAGAGGTAAAAACATGTGTTATTTGAAGAATGTACAACTTATACGATATTGTGGTACTTTTGATCAGGGCTGCAGTTATCAAGTATTTTAGCAAAAGTATTTTAAAGATGATTACCTTTGATTGATCTAGAAATCTATAGATAACACAAAACATACTAGCCTGGTCGTACCACACCATAGTACAAATTACATTACGTACTAAGGTCTGGAGGTGCTCCATTGAGCTCCGTTTACAGAGAGGAGGGGTTAACTCCTTTTGCAGATTGAAACCATTGGATCTGAGTTTACAGTGACGTTTGTAATGCACCCGAGTCTGTCGTTAGCATTTAGCATTTAGCCTAGCCATCTCCTTTGCCGCTAACGGAGCTCGTGGGGAGTAGCGCCACAATTTTTCCAGCGATTACATTTGCTAAACATTCCTCTTGCTCCGGCTTCAATTTCTTGATAGAGCCAGACCGGATTACTTTACTATCGCATTTTTCGCCATCGCCAAACTAAAACCTTCCCGTTTGGCGCAAACTCTTGACGTCACCCACAACTATCTACAACACCTGCCTTCCCCGCTCTCTGAATGGTCGGTCGAAATTCAACCGATTGTATTCGCTAACACGAGGACCAGACCCAGACGTTACATGCAGTGAAATGATGATTGAGCGGAGTGTACGGATGGCTAAGGCCAGGCTAAAAACATACCTGCCCCTGCGTAACATAAAAGCACCGTAAACACATGCAGTTTCCTCTCTGTGGGAAGAATCAAGGATCTCTCAATATGTTTTAGAAAAAAGTCTGATTCAAAGTGTTTGTGTAGTATATAGTTTGAATTTATTTCCCTTTTTTATTTCTAAATCAGTCTGATGCTTTCAGTACAGTCCGACTCCACAAGGAAACTGCTCTGTGTGGATAAAAGTGTTTTTTTAATTGATTAAATTGTGTTATTATTTATAAATTAACAGATTTATCGAGACAATTGCATCGTAATCAAAATTGTATCAATTCATATATTATTTCATTATCTTTTAATATTAACTCGACCTTAGACTTTTTATTGTAATCTTTGCAGCCCCATAAGTAGCAATAACATGGGATCTCGCAGACCCAGCCACAAAAGTTGCACAACGCAATTTTAAATTCTGAAATGACAAATAGCTTCTGTTACGTCAAAGTAGAAACCCATCATGCTGTTCCCTTCAAAAACAACACTGTGACCATAGTCTTTACAATGATTGACCCAGATATTGTTAATGTTATAGATGAGATAGTTTTTCTTCAGGTCATACAGTCTTTATCAGACTCTTGGAACCACATTAAAATTAGCCTCATTCTACCGTGAAGTGTGTTGCTTCTTGCAGACTCATCCAGTGAGTGTGAACTTGTGCATAGCTTCTGTTGGAATCTTTGTCTTGGTCTGTGTGTGTCACCTCCCCAGGCGTTAAATGTCAGATATTCAAATTATGGCTGGGTGGAAACTGCTCTGTTTTGTGCCGTCTGTGTTTGCTGTTTGTGCGAGAGTGTGTGCGTATTGTGAGTGTGTTTAAATGTGTGTGTGGGCAGAGAGGCTGTTTGATGTGAGTCAGATCCAAACCCAGCCTGCTTTCTATCACACGTGTGTGGGACGAATCCAGATGGCTCGGCAGGACCGCACAAATGTCACTCTGATAATGAGACAACAGGGCTTGTACGGCAGGCGCAGGTAAGAGGGGCACAGTGTGGACATGCCTGAAGTTTGTGTGTACACGCAGGACACACACAAGACACACAGGGCACATGCAGGACACACACAAGACACACAGGGCACACACAGGACACACACAGGGAACACACAGGTCACATGCAGAACACACACAAGACACACACAGGACACACACAGGGCACAAACAGGACACACACAGGGCACAAACAGGTCACATGCAGGACACACACAAGACACACACAAGACACACACAGGGCACACGCAGACCGCTGAGTCCTATAATGCAGTCTGAAGCACTCAGGTCCCGCCTTTGTCAGGTTGATTGACAGGTGGCAGATCTTGATTGAAGATTCTATGTCAACTTACAATCTTCCAATAGAGGATGCACCGACTGCTGTGTTTATTGTTCTGTGCCGCAGTGTTGTGTTGTGTAAAATCGATGCTACATGGAGTATTCTGGATCATTCTTTGTCATAGTGTAGGTCGCAGATGGCAGAGAAGTGCATAGATTACATTCAGGAATGTAATGAACAGACATGATGATTGTTAAACAGTAACTTTAAACACATTTGTTAGTTATTGACATTCTTCCACCTCCTCAGGCTGAGGTCGGCTACAAGACTGGTGCGTTCAAGTGAAAAAGCAAAATGCATTCTTGAAATCATAAATATTTAATATTACACACACACACACACAATACACACACACACAATACGCACACACAAGCACACGCACACACACACACACACACAAGCACACACACACACAATACGCACACAGAAGCACTCACACACGCACACACACACACACAAGCACACGCACACATACACACACACACACACAACACACACGCACACACACACATACAGTACTTAAACAACAATTTACTGTTTTAGAAATGTTTCACACTGGCAGATAACATGCAGGTGTGGCGCCACCTGCATGTGAAAACCTGATCCTGTAACATCTCAGAAGCTAAGCTGGGCATGGCCTTGCTAGTACTGTGATGGGAGACCTCTCCAGGCAGGATACTTCACCCACATTGTCTAGTGTGAGTCTAGTGTACTTCTGTGGCTCTACTGTAGTAGTTTATCACCACTGTGTATGGAGAGAATGAATAATGTCATGTGGAGTGTCTTTGAGAGCCAGAAAAGGAGTCTATAATACGTATATGCATCATAATTATTATAATACAAAACATGTAGAGCTTAAGCTGAAAGAATCTGAACTTAGAAGTGTGGCAATTAGAAGCATGACTAACCACTTCAAAGCTGTGTTTATGTAGTGTCAGAGTCACAGTTAGAACGTAAGCAGAAAGTACTGATATTTGGGTTGAAAAGTAAGGATTACAAGTAGAAATATATATTTACCGACCACCTCAGAGATTTTTATTTAAACCAATCATGAGCGCAATCATCAATCCGACTAAAAAGAAAAAATACCATAACAGCTGTTGATTTATGTTGCCTTGGCGAGACACAGAAAGAGCAAAAAAATATGGTGCTTTGCTTGTTCTTCCGGCTGTTGTTCAAACATATATAAATATATTTATTATTGGCTCATGTTCGTAACATGACCATCTGATTATCCCACAATGCAGTTGTCTACAAAAGCATTTACAGTTTGCACAGGAGCTGAACAAGACTCGGCATGATCCTCATGCAGTCTCACAAATATTTCCGAATAGACTGCTGCAGACTCTATTAATCACTGTAATAACTCGACCCGAGCGGCTGTGCCCCTGTTCCAGACTTGCCATTGGGTCATCGCAGGTCACCGCCTGGTTGCCATGGGAGCAGGCGATGAAGGAAAAGGCACAGCTTCTCCTGAGCGGCTCCGAACAGTGACACCTTTCTGTCGCTTGAGTTGCACGTCGGCGTGTGAACGCCGGAGTGAGAAGTTGTTGTTTATTAAATTCTCTTTACGAGTCACAAGAGCGGCCCGTCAACCCTGCGCTCTCCTCTCTCCTCTCTCCTCACACTTTACTTTCTCGTCGTGTACTCTGCACAAAAACCCATTTTCACACTTCCCCTGGTGGACATCCTCTCACACATATTCTCCTCGTCGGCATTGTTCCTCTCACACTGCACGCGCATTCACGTTGTTTTGTGGAGTCAAGCACAGGTGCATGTTTGGTACTATGCGTTTGGGATTTGTGTTCCCTCCGTACGCTCCTTATAGAGGGCAATATATTCTCAAACATACACAAAACCCAGATGGTATTAACACACTTAATTCCCCTCAATGCTTAAGTGTGGCTTAAAGAAGAACCATTACACATCATTTTTAATCAATAACATTAAGGCTAATAATAATAAGGATTTCCACAATGTCATTCTAGTGTCAAATAATAACTTAAGTAGAAAAACATTTGCTGAAACATGCATCCATCCATTTTCTTCCCCTTTATCCATTTCTGGGTCGGGGGGGGTGGCAGTCAGAGCTGCACCCAGTCACAGAGCACCAGCCCCTCACTGATCCTCCTGCAGGTGGTGAGTCCACAGGAGCTGAGATCTTTCAGTGGGGGCTTCAGGCAAAGTGGGGTTAAGTGTCTTGCCCAAGGACACAACGACAGCAGTCATCAGTGGGAGTCGTGAAGTAGGTCTTGAGGTGGGCTTGAACCCACGACCTTCAGGCTCAAAGGCCAATGCTCTACCAACTGAGCTACTGTCGCCCTTGCTTGAAACATGCGTTGAGGGTAAATAATGCTATTGGCCTGCCCTATCCCTATGCTACCACTAGAGGGAGGTGTAGAATTTGATTTGTTTTTTTTTTACAAATTAGAAAATTACCAGCTTCAAACACTACCATGTGATTGCAAACATTGTAATTTCACTTGGGAAATTACCAAAAAATGATCTATGGCCAATAGTTTTGTTTTGAAAGGTAGAACACTGCTTTGAGTGTGATGTCATAGAAGGGCAATGACATCATAATATTACAAGACTGAGACAGGAACTTTTAGACAGAAGGGCCAGAAGTTCCTGATATTAGCGTGGATGGATCTAAAAATAGCTCCAGGTCTGTTTTTGATGATGGAACAATGTTGTAACATGGTTAAAAGAACAAAATAGCGAATTTGCAGTCTTTAGGTTTTACTTCATTGTAGAGAGAGGTCTCACTGCCCATAGTAGAACCATAATTAAAACATATGCTGTTACCTGAGTTATGCTGGAGGTTAGTAAATAATTAGTCTTTATTTATATAGCACATTTCACTGATCAAAGTCACACAATTCTTGTTGTACCAGTAATTTCCATTTTCTCCGCACATGGTGATGACAGAAGCGATTCGCAAACACAGCCTTAAAGAGTGGTATTAACATTACCTCATTTTATGTATTTATTCCGGATTCTTCCTTGAACTTTATTACATAACGGTGCTCTAAGGACACAATGACAGTTTGGCACTTTACAGGCACAGGCGCCCCACCGTGGTACCAGATGTTCCCGGAGGTCTCCCATCACAGTACTAACCAGGCCCTGCACCACTTTGCTTCTGAGGTGTGACAGGATCAGGCTTTCACATGCAGGTGACATCTCTGTTAATGGCTGTGAGGTGAACAGCAAGAAGGTCCTGAGTTCGATTCCACCTCTAGGGCCTTTCTGTGTGGAGTTTGCATGTTCTCCCTGTGGACTATAGGTCTGAATGAGGGAGTGAATGGATGGTGTCGGTTAGGGGAGTGGAGAGATTGGGAAAATGTCTGAACTCTGAACATTGTAAAACACTTCGGGTGACCTTGGTCTGTAAAATGCGCCATATGAATAAACATTACTCACTTACTTACGCCTGATTCCTGAGCTCTAATATGCGTTTATGAGAGGATTACTTAAAAAAATGAAAAATCTCTCTGTTATCTGTACAGAAGCCTCTCTAACTCTCACCTCGCAATGAAAGTGCTTCAGAGCTGCATCTGTAGTCGCAGTAGTAATATTTACAACCCCCTAAAACCGGCTTTCACGCCTCTCTCGTCTCACCTTCTCGCACGCCACTTCCTCCCTCTCGCTTCTGCTGCGGAGTCAAGCGCAGGTGCGAGTCACAGCGCGCCCGCCAGGTACTATATCCGTACTATTTTGTGAGTGACCTTAAGTAGTTCCCTTCATAACAGCCCATTCAGTCTCCTCAGGTCAGCCGGCACGCGCCCACGCCTCGCTCTCTACCACATCATCTCCCAACGCCACCGCCGACACCCTCGCAACCCGCCGTTTTATACTTCTCTATGTGTGCGTGTAATGTGTGTATTTGTGTGTGTGTGTGTGTTTGCAAAGAGGCTAATGGAAGACTGTCCACTGCAAAAGCTGCAAATTCCATACGAAGCGATCTGTTATAGTGACAGGGAGGCAAGTATTTTTAGCCCCGAGACAAAGGACAAATAATGTAGCAGGAAAGACGTGGAGAGAGACAACAGGGGACAGAGGGAGTGTGTGCGAGGGTAAACTAAAACCCACTGGATGTTGCTGACTGGCCGCTCTTCTTGCTGTTTAGTGCATGCACGGGCTATATGTGGATGATCACGCACTGTATATTCGCTGAGAGCCACGTGGAGTTGGCATAAGGGCACGCATCACGGTCGCGAGCTCAGATTTGGACAGATATATTAGCAATGGGTTATTTTTAACACCGTTTATTTCCCATCTGTTGCTGTATTAATAAGTGGACTGCTATTGATGGTGATGCATTTCTATTTTCTGCGGTTTGGCTCCATGCTAATTCTTTATGTTCTATTTGTATGTTTTCAGTTTTTGGGCCTATACTTATGTTTTAAATTGTGAGTTTGATATTCTTTTTTAAATTATGTTCTTTACAACTGCATGCCTTCTATTAGACCACGCCACCTTGGATTTAAATGCCAAGACCGTATAATGCAATTCCCCACTTCTTCCACCAGATGTCAGTGTTGGCTCTTTCTAGTTATCTCAAACTTATTCATCATGTTAAAATCCTTATCTTTTTTATTTAAGATAACATGTAACATTCTTAAACATGCCATTTTTAAGTAAATCCTATCACTGGTTGAAACTTAAAGGTCAAAATGAACCCAAATACTGCATCCTACGTGTTCTTTAATGCCCCAAAGGAAACTGAAAAGTTGCGGTTCATCATAAAATCTTTTGTCATGTGATTCTGCCGCTAATGAAGCAGCTGGGCCAAAGGTGTGGGGAGTGTGTGAGTCAAAAAGCAGTCAGCTGATGTGAACTGGAGCAGCTGGCGGTGATGCACGGAGCTTTACTGTGGTCATCAGCGTTAGTCAGCGCCTCACAAACATCTATTACTACATGAATAATTCAATCAGCGTGAGTCGTTCTCTTTGAAACCACGTATAGCAGCTGTGCAAACCGCAGCCCAGACTCCGATCCAATGTAATGTTGCACAACTTCAGGACGTGACTGTTAAAACCACATGGGACCAAAAAGCGTTACTACTTATTCGACATGACTGAGATTGGCTTCCTCTTCGGACTTCTCCAATTTGCTGAACGGACTCGTGTGTCAGACGTTACAGACTGGGTTTATTTTGTTTGCATGCTTTTTGACTTATGACTAATGTGTGTGTGTGTGTTTTCTGATAATCATCATCTTGGATCTTGAGATAACACCTATGTTGAATACAGTGGTGTTTCCGTTTTGTTCCAGTTAAGTGGCTATTTGTGAAGGAAAGTGGGAACTTACATAAAAAAATATATGCAATTTTTTTTTTCTTGGAGGGGAGGCGCCGGGGTAGATTGTTAGTCTTGCTTCCCTCAGTCTGTGGCGACAATAGTAGCTTATACCACCGTCACGTCTGGAACGAACGATCAGGACCATTTGAGTTACTGTGCTTCATGACCAAAATACAGTGGCACAAATGTTCCTTTCCTTCTGTCTGTGTCTTTTATCAATCATTATTGATAAAAGCCTGCATCTAGAGACAAACTGCATAATAGTGGTTTAATAATCTAACTTTGTATTTGTTTTTATATCCAAAAACTAGTATGTTCTCAAAAAATATTTGAAATAGAGATAGATAGATATGTATATAGAAAAATCAATCAATAAATCAATCAAATTTTATTTATAAAGCGCTTTTCATACAAAAAATGTATCACAAAGTGCTTTACAGTTTAGTTAAAAACAATCCAACATGCCCAGCCCTAAACCCTCCTCCCCACGGACCCCCCCAAAACCACATTCATAATTATATATACAACCACATGCGTATACACACACACACACACATACACATACACACAAAAAAAGTCCCCCTTGTCCAGTTGAGGCATGTAACCTCCGATAGATAGTGTTCATTGTAGAAGCTGACAGCAGCAATAGGATAAAATAGTACACTGGGTATTTTTGGCCGAAATATTCCTATGTGGTTTTTAACTGAAAATGAATCTCAATCTTTGCATCACTAATAAAATGGCTGTATACCGTAGTATGTCTGATAAGGTAACACAAGGACAAACTTCACCCAAAACATTGATCTCCAGGCACACAAGGCGAGAACGTTGGTATTTCGGTGACGATGACTGGTCTCTACCCACAAGCCCTTGAACCTGGCGTGCTCTTGATCCAGGGCTCGTGCCTCTGCTTTAGCACAATGTCCTTCTGCCCCGTGTTCACTCGGCCTGTTCTCTGACTCAGCACTCCGCCGCAGCTAAAGTTTCCCGGGACACTATTAGGACATCACCGCTTATATACAGTGTGTGTGCGTCTGCTTTTGTGCCATCTACTGTTGCATTTACGCCGCTCGGATTCTTTTCTCCCTCTTATGCAATACGATATTTTTCACTTTGCAAGTAACCCCGCGTGGATATTTTTGCGCGTGCCTCCGCTATTGTGCTATTAAAGAGGCCCTGGAAACGTCT